CACACACACACACACACACACACACACACACACACACACACACACACACACACACACACACACACACACAAACACACACACACACACAAACACACTCACGCACACTCACGCACACACACACACACACACGCAGTGTGTGCATGTGCAAACATAGTTCTGCATTGAACACCTAGTACTTCATTTACTGAGTTCCAGATAAGGGCGGGGGTGACAAGCAGGAACGCAGCCATCCAAGATGAAAGGAATGCATACTCCAACCATCCACGGACAGGCCAAGACCAAAAGGATCGCCAACCACCTATGGGTACAAGCACTGGGCAGGAAGACCCAGCAAGATCTACGAGGGCAAGGTCTTCTACTGCTCTGAAGAGGGAGAAGGGGGGAGTAGACTTGAGTTGTTGCTGCGTATCAAAGACTTGAGTGTTACCTATCTACTTCTCCGAACACAATATCCTCAGTACCTATGATAGTAACCACATCTGCGAGCATGTGATGTTTCGACATAAAATCAAACCCTTACAAATGAGCAAAACCAGGTGCTCGAATTTTACAACGATGAGGATGATTGGCTCCGTTGCTAACTAAATATACACCAAATTCTCCTTTAAGAACAAAGGTGTCAAGAGAAGGTTTATCGACATCATCTCCTGCAAAATATCTACATACGATCCGAACGCCCGGAACGCAGTGCAGATGGTTCGGGTCTGGGTGTCCTGGTCCGGCCTCTGGTCCACATGTCCAGATCCTGCCCCTCCACCCCCTTTCAAAAACAAATCTGACTTAATAATAGATATATATAATCTGAAGAGAAGACATGCTATGTTGCAAGAGAAAAACTTTGGTTGAGGATCATCTCGGAATTCATAGCCAAATCCAAGGGAAAAGAAGTTGATTTTTTTTTTTATCGGGGGGTGACGGTCAATCCAGACAGAGGTCCGGCTGAATGTCTGGATTGGTCCTATGTCCAGGTCCGGCATAACCATTGATATTTCCTGCTGAAGTTCTCATCTTGCCTGTTTGGGAAGTGCGTGCCTGGCTGAGCAAACAAAGCTTTGGTTTTCGGAACAAAGTGCATGGCTTAAGAAACAAAGCCTAGTTGTGTGATGATAACAGTTCCAAAGCCAACACCATAAGGTCAGCTTGACCAAAAATTGTTCAGGGATGAATGCATGTGTCAATTAGTCAGCGGGCAGAAAAAGTGCCTTATCAGTCCAGGGCCAATCACCCCATGAGAGGTACAGAGAAAGCTCCGAGTGAAATAATTGCAAATGCTGAATGCTATCCAACACGAACAACCCATACCCATCACAGCCATGTATCAATTTTCCTTGCGGCTCTCAAGAGTGCCGATATGGAATTTCGGGGACTGGGAATGCCCGTGTGTGTGGTGTGTCATACAATCATGTGCCTTGCATATCAATTCCTAAACATCCCCAACACCTCAAAGGACAAACTGGGTCTCTCATGACGGCAGGTGCTTTAGAGAGAGGCCTGGTAACCAGGCGCTCGTGAGGCATTGGATGGGCCCACTCCAGGAATGGGCCTGTTGTGACGGTTGGTGCTCTTGCAAGCGGTTCCAGGGGAGATTTCCAAACCCGTTCCAGCGTCGGACTTCGACACGACAAACATGAGTTTAGGATTTTTTGTGATAAATCTGCCTGTATTTGCAGTCAGCTACATGCAAGACGGTCCTAGTGTCATCATCCAAAGCCGCTCAGGTTGCTGGGGTTCCTTTGTAATGTGTCGTAGCTGGGGTTTAGGTGCAAGAAAAATCTTAATTGAAGCTGGGTAATGGCCCCTTTTAAACCACCACTCTACCCGATGTTGTGAAAATCGGGCCCCTTTTAAACCACCACTCTACCCGATGTTGTGAAAGTCGGGGGACCGGTAGCACATGTTCATGAGGGCTACCGGTAGCATAATGTGGAGACCCGGCAGAGACCCAAAAATGAAAAATCCAACAAATTGCCACCACCACTTATTTCGTGGTAAAAGAATTTTTTTTTATTTTTTAAATATTTTTCCCAGAAAGATCACGAGCATATCTACGGATCCTCCAATTTTAAGATTTTCGTATGAATTCTTCTGAGCGTGAAAAATCCCTGAAATTGGGGTACATTTCCCGTTGGCCCACAAGTAGTAGAGTGGCAAAAATCAAGAATGAAACAAATCGGCAAGGCACTTATTTCACCGACTAAAACTTTTTTTTTTTTTTTTTAATATTTTTTGCGGAAAGATCACAACCAAATCTACAGACTCTTCAATTTTCCGAGTTTTGAAGGCATTCTTCTGAGTGCGAAAAATCACAGAAGATAGGGTACTTTTTCCTTTCGCCCACATGTTGGAGTGGCAAAAATGAAAAACGTGACGAATTTGCACGGCATTCATTTCATGACCTACAATTTTTATTTTTTTTTCCCTGATATTTTTCCCGTAAAGATCACGACCTAATCTACAGGATCTCAAATTTTCAGTTTTTTTCCCTTATTTTTCTGTGCGAGAAAAACCGCCAAAGTTGGTGAGTGAAAATTGCGGGACTGGACCCGCGGTCGGCGCCCCCCCCATAGACCCGCGGTCGGTGGCCCCCCTAAAGACCCGTTCCGAACTCACCGAAATGCCACTTTTACGGTGGCGGGTAGAGTGGTGGTTTAAAAAAAGAAACCAGGGATGGAAAAACGAATGCCGCTCTCACCAGATTTTTTATTGTTTTGTTTTATTGGACCTGTTAAAATGTAACATTACATCATTAATTTGTGACCATACTTGCAAGCGTATGCCGTGCAGGCAATTCCGCATGTTCGGCGCACAAGCCGCACGGTTCAGGTGCAGTGTACGGAGGAAAAATTCACCCAGGAAAAAAGGGGGTCGCAGGCCTGGATAAGTGGTGACCTGCACACCCTTCGCAAATTTGTTGTAGGATGGAAAAAAAAAAAAAAGAGGGAAGAGTAATTTCACCACTTAACAGTGAAGACTGGTGCCCCAGACCTATTTTGAGGCTATTTATGATGCCCAATGAGACCAAAAGAAAGATTTGTACGACTGTACTTGAACAGGATCTGTTCCTTAGGTAGTACACTCGCCTGTATCTACAAAAACAGCAAAAAAAAAAACAAAAAAAAACAGAGATCATTCCTGGTGCGGCGCACCGGCAGGTTCCAAGCACCTTGCAGCACACTGCACCACGCGACCGTGAGGCTCGTGCGGTTGCAAGTATGTTTGTGACACATCATATGGGAATGATGAGATGGAAGAAAAATCGCAGGACGGCATTGATTGCTCTCATACGAGGGGATTGACTACCCTGCTGATCTGTAGACCACTGTACTATGACATTTGTGCAAACCCCGCCCCTTTCTCAGCGGGGTGCTGTTGTGAAAATCTGATAAATCCGATCTGCCTACGATGTGAGGCTGAAGCAATGTACATGGCAATCATCTAGTCTGATGTATCTATCAAGTAATATAACATGCCATGTGTCATTGCATTCAAGCAATGCTAGTTGTCAATCAATCAAATAGAATCACACGCCAATTAGACAGTAGCATGTGTCCTTCTTATGGTATGATGTTTGAATAACTGAGATGCATCGATAATCAAGATGAGAATGAGAATCGTGTCATACAGGCGCCTTTTCTATCCTGCGTCCCAATCCCACATTACACTAACCTCTTGGTTTCTGTGAGTTCTCTCTCGCCAGAGAATTCTCCAATCCCATTTGCTCCCATTCCAGCCCCATCTCCTCCTGCATCATACTATTCCCCATTTCTCCACATCACGCTCCCTGAAACTGTGTTTCCCCTTGCAGCATGTCTTTGAATGTGCGAAGGCAAAATGCTTTGCTGTCGTCTCCTGACAAACAACATAATTGCCCTTGCTGTGCCAGTGAGGAGAGTTGCACCTCGGCACGAGCTAGCTTTGGCAGCACTCTTTATGGTTTCTCGTCCTGTATCCGCAAACCACCTGCCTTTAAACATACCCACTCGTGCCCCTACACAAGAATATTTGCTTTCGTCCATTATCCATCCACTCCTTGCGCAGTCTTCTCTGTACCATTCCAACTTTGACGGATGACGCAGCCCCTCTCCCATTACTCTCGCTCCCTTCTCGTTCCCAGGGGAATGCGTGCATGTGTGAATAGTGTAACAGATGTATGCGGGTGTTACCAGACCGAACATTTGAAGGGGGTCGGACACTCCCCCACCCCCCAAAGCCCGGCCCCTCGGCCGAATGCCACCACCCAGATTTGGAGGCCTCTTTTTTTGGAAATCTTCTTTTTTTTGGTTCCTCTACTGATAAAGTATGTACCATTCAAATTTCGTGATCATCTACCAAAAAAAGAAGATAAAAATCATAGAAGACAGGGGGTCAAATGATTTGACATCGCCCCCTTTTGAGATCGCCCCCTTTTCGCGTGTTCTTTTTCTTTGCGGTAGTTGTAAATCAAAATCACTCAATCAGCCAATCATTCAACCAATCAATCAATCAATCATTACATTGTGCCGCGGTAGCAGAGAAGTAACATCAAGGATGGTATGGTTGATAACAGGGCGCCAGAGCTCTCATTGCAGCACTCACTGCCGTGGTTGGCATGAACCATACCTGACAGAAATCATCTCCGCCACAGGAACTTGACAAGGAAGGTGGGTCAGCACGGCAGGCACAGGCGGTTATACACATGGATGCGATGTCCTTCATGGCAAAATGGGCATGCTATGTCAGGGTCCACAGATACAATGCCTTGACTTTCTGTCAGTTGCAGCCACAGCGGTTCCATAAACTCGGAGTCGGCCAAAGACTAAATCTCTGGCCAATGCAGTATAATTATCTCGAATCCCAAAGATAGGGTAAAGACTTCAGCCCAGGAATGTGCAGGCCCTTTCGTGATGATACAAAGATAGGGATTCTTGGCTGTGAACCCCAGCAACTGTACCGGGCGGGGTCTCTGTGATGGGGTGGCCTCTGCAGCCATGTGCGTAGAGAACTGTCTCGCTTTCTCTCTGTATCCGTGCATTCTGACATAGCATGCACTTTGCCACCATGGACATCACATTCAGTCCAGGATACTGCAGCCCCCATTCTTGCCTGTGAACGCCAGCACCCGTACTGGGATCTCTGTGACGGGGTGGCCTCTGCAGACATGTGCCAGGTGCATAGACTCTCTCGCTTTCTCTCATTGTATCTGGACCCTGACATAGCATGCCCATTTTGCCGTGAAGGACATCACATCCATGTGTATGACCGCCTGTGCCCGCCTGTGCAGCCCCCATTCTTGCCTGTGAACGCCAGCACCCGTACTGGGATCTCTGTGATGGGGTGGCCTCTGCAGACATGTGCCAGGTGCATAGACTGTCTCGCTTTCTCTCATTGTATCTGGACCCTGACATAGCATGCCCATTTTGCCGTGAAGGACATCACATCCATGTATGACCGCCTGTGCCTGCCTGTGCTGACCCACCTTTGTCAAGTTCCTGTGGCCGAGATGATTTCTGTCAGGTCTGGCTCATGCCAACCACGGCAGTGACTGCTGCAATGAGAGCTCTGTTGCCCTGTTATCAACCATACCATCCCTGATGTTGCTTTTGTGCTACCCCGATGCTGTAGGAAAGCTCACATGTGTGCAGTGTGTGGGGTCTTCGTGCTCCACCACACACACGTCGGGAGTACTGCATTTCTAGAAAGAGGAAGACAACTGGAAAATATATATATTGTCATATTGTGAATCAGAGCGCAAAAAAGGGGAAAGAAAAAAGGAAAAGGAAAAAAGGGGGAGGGGGAAGAGGTAAGGAAAGCTCCACCTGTTCATAACCTCTTACGTACAAGGCCAGCCACGTGGATGACAGGTTGAGCGCTGGCTGCCCCCATCCCCGTGTGTCACAAGGACCCACTTGCACG